CCAAGTTAGCTCTTGCTTCATGATGCAGTTTGATGATTTCTGAAATGTGTCGTATTCAATTCTAACGTCTTTTCCTAATTTCTTCTTCAGATGAAAGCTTGTTTGCTCTTTTTAACGGCAAGATGTTGTTGGTGGTTTCCAGCTGACATACATTGATTATCTCACGTTGACGATTGTTTAGAAATATATGTACTTTTTGATTGTTTGTGATATATCAGAATTTTCAATACAAATGTCAAAACAGTTCTACTGTATGGGGCGGAAACCTGGAGAACTACGAAAGCCATCATCCAGAAGATACAGGTGTTTATTAACAGTTGTCTACGCAAAATACTTCGGATCAGATGGCCAGACATTATCAGCAACAACCTACTGTGAGAGAGAACAAACCAGATTGCAGTATAGGAAGAAATCAGGAAGAAGCGCTGGAAGTGGATAGGACACACATTGAGGAAAGCAGTCAACTGCGTCACAAGACAAGCCCTCACATGCAATCATGAAGGCCAAAGAACACATTACACTGAGAAATAGAGACAGACATGAGAAGAATGAACAAAAACTGGATAGAAGTAGAAAGGAAGGCCCAGGACAGAGTGGGTTTGAGAATTCTGGTCGGCGGCCTACGCTCCATTGGGGGTAACAGGCGTAAGTAAGTATGTTGTTATTCAAGCAGTCTGACTGCAACTGAATAATTACTATCGTAGAAAATTTGTGAAGTTAGCTTTTGTCATACAAATAATGATCGAGTGAACACTACAAACCAAGAGGTATTGAATGACATTTTCATCCTAGTGTTGGATTTCCTCAGGACTGAGCACCCACGATCCCACCATGGAGTGAAACAGTGATGGAAACTAGCCTCAAATACTTTACAATATTTCTACATTATAATTAACATATCCACTAGGGACTAGCTTTAAGAAAAAAAAATTTAGTATGAGACAGAAATCGATGCAATTCTGTCATGTTAAAAGTGAGATAGATGATTGTCATAAGGATTGGTTTAAGCTGAGGATACGGAAAGTAATGGTATTTAAGCTCAGCAACCTAAAAGTATTCTGCTCGTTGCGAGATCTTAAGGTTTTAGGTTAAATTAATGATAGGTCAATAAGTACACAGTGTCGAGGAAACTGAATAGTTTTTTATTAATGATCGTCCAGATGAAATCAGTCCCCAAATGCGCTGGTACGGCCGAGAGTGGGAAGAGTCGGCTCTCCCTCTCAAAATGCTCTCACATGGTCACGCGTATATAGCCTCTGCCAGGGAAGTCCTACTCACTGCCTTCTCGTAGCGTAGTTGTTGTTTACAAAATTGAGAGGATGAAAAGCGAATGTCTGGCGCTTTAACCGGGTTGGTGGACGAGGCGAGTCCACCCAGGGAAGTTGGAAAACCCTGATTCCAAACCAATGGTGCACATGGGCTTCAGTATCCTGAAGGAACAAATGGCGTATGAACCAATCGTTGGTCACCGGCTACCATGGGACTGCATCTCCTTACGATGCTCCACTGCGTTGTGGATCAGACCTTTAGGTCAAAGGCTCCAGGTGTGGGCCCCTAAGAAAACCACCTGCTTCAGTTTGGGAAACTGGGCAGTATCACAGCCCTCACACAAATCAAATGAGATTTGTGAGGCGCATATATATCTGGTGCTTCCTTGTACCAATATTTATGTGCTTAAATATATTTTTGATTTTATTCTATACAAGGTATCACCAACCATTATTTCTAGATCTCAAACCTAAAGTGTGGTACAAAGCTTAATACACAAACTTGTACTTGATCATTGAGTTGTAATAAGTCATGAAAAGATGTCTTTTTTCTTTGAAGAAAAGAATGAATATTATGATGAATGATTTTAAATTTAAATCAACTTCAGAATGTCATTGTCATGACTTATCTATACTCACTATCAATGTGTTTGCTAACATTGATTGTGCCAAAACGATCTACAACTGATGAAGTATTTTAATGTCTTCACCCAAACTATCAATCAGAACGTCAGGGAGACCAGACAAGTATCCACGGCTATTTTTTATTATTCAGACCATAAAACTTGTGATTATGTGCATGAAATACACCAGCATGAAGTACTTAAAATAGTCAATCAGTATGTGCTACATGATTAGATTTACGACATAATACTGAATAACAGGTGTAATACGTCTGGCACTTGAATACTGACCGTTTGTTATTTCCTTCCTTCTTCTAACTTAAGCTCCAAAAGGAAGACAAAAGATGGAAAGCATGAACAGAAGCTTTACTTTTACGTTTAGTTTATGTATAGAAAACAAGAGTGAATGAAGAAAAGAATGGCGTTGGAGTTCTGGAAACACAGAATTTGGTAAAAAAAAATAGTTATTCAATCAGGGGATGATAGAATCCTTTATTTTTCTAAGAATTTTCCATTGGATGCTGATTGTACAAAATAGTTTTCAGGCTTTTTTTGGCTGATGAAGACTTTTTCGAGGAATTCACAAGGAGCCTTGTTGTAACTGAACAAAATTATAGGCTGTTAGTTGTAAGTGGGGAAAAACTGCTACTTGGCACGTGTTACAGGACTGATATGCCTCAATTTAAGGAAGAAAATTAAAACTATGGATATTAATTTTTTATGCATCAAACACTAATTTCTGATGTCGTTTTGGATCAGTTGAAAATCGAAACGACACATATGATTTACTTATTCAGTGTCAGAATGCAGAACCTGTAGGAGTGTGCATCTGTTCAAGTTGCTTTACCTTATTACCACAAAGAGATGGAGTTGTCAAGCCAAATCTCAGAACAGTTGAGGTATTAACGGTATCAGTGGTAATAGGAAAGATTAGACATCGAAGATACAAATTTGTGGGATGAAAAATCCAGAATTCGGGGCAAGACAGAGAATAAATGAGCCTGCGCCATTGTGAACGACTTTGATCCATGTCATTCAAATTTTCTTAACACTGATTACGATAATCACTTTCTACTCAATTTATTTGAAACTATCCTTAAAAATCGCAAGGGTTAATCCGTGCTTCTCTCCCTCACTTTAGATTACTTATAGCCTTTTCAACCTCACTGAATTGGAGAAATTACATCAGGTTGCTTGGAGATAGTGGGTAACTGGAGGGCATTTGAACTGTGCCCTAAAGTATCCTGGCTATCGGTTCAATCCCCCGAATTGAGAGTAATAATACCGTATTTTTCCAAGATAGATCCACTTAGAGTCAGATTTCTATGCGTTTCCTTGATAAGACCGAATAGTTGTCTACTGTTGTCATCTTTTCCATTTCCTGCTTTTACTACCCCCATTTGATCATTAGGCAGGCTTTTTGTCAGCCCAAATTTATGCTGCCTCCGCTCCCCATCGTGTTCTGAGCCAGACAGGACGAGTTTTCGAGTATCTATCAATGCTGTAGACGCCACTGAAACCCGATGACTTTCCCTAACATTTTCATTTAAATTACTAGTAGATATCGCTTTTACGGTTGACTAACTTGTTCTTTAGTTATTCGTGAAATATATTCTTAACTCTCTCATCATTGTGTTGGATTCGATGTTTTCTTGCTGTGGCTTTTCTACGTCCAATAACATGCAAACAAATACGTGCTCGAACTAGAGCATGATTCGAGTCTAAAGATATGAACCAGAATAGGCAACAGTCTCCAATCGAGCTCTTCCAATGGTGGCTAATGGCAATGTGATCAACTTAAGCCAACTGTGAGGGTCACCACATAAGACGGAATCTGAATACATTGAACTGGGAAGCACTTGACAGAAATTAATCAACAACTTGATGGATGTGTACGACTTATAACACTAGTGAAGTAAACTGCATTGCCTAACTAATATAACTAAATTGAGTTACATTTTTATTTACTTGTCCAACAAGTGAAGTCATAAGCCAATCACTGTTAGACCACGATTGAAAACCTTGAAGGATTGGACGGCCGTTTCTTCCTCGTATGGGAATCGTCAGGAATGTGCATCCACAACCTAGGACGCGGAAATCTAACCCAGGACCTTTGGTCTCGCGTGAGAACACTTAACCTCTAAACCACTGAGTCGGCATCCATCAGTGTTAATGTCTAACTTTAATCAATCCACAACGTTGTGTGACCATCTTCCCGATCCTCACGTTGGGGGGGGGGTCGTGGTTCAGTACTGCTGAGGAACCTTCATACTAGAATGAAACGGCCGTGCTCAGTGCCTCACGGTTTTTAATGATTATCTATCATTGCTCGGTTCGTCGTTTCAATAAACTACATTGTAACAGTTATCGAGTTAGATAGAAGTTTATAATGTTGACAATATAAAGATCACAAAACAAATGTTGAACAAAATACACATTCCTAAGGTATATTGTGTATCTTCAGAGTGATTTCTAAAGTTTTTATTATTATCAACCTTCTACCCACAGTCATAACAGTTATATAGACACGAGAAGTTGGTAAAAAGTTTTTTATTATTAATAAATAATAATCAATAAAAAACTAAATGAATAAAAGGAAGGTGCAACAACCATAATATTTACGAAAAAACCAATATTAATAATAGTAAATTGTAAAAGTTCAATTAAACTGACTTTTTAAGCATCATTTATTAAACATTTTATATTGTTTGTTGACCTCGTAAAAAACAACCTTATATATATATATATATATATATATATATTTATAAATACATAATATGGAATACAAGTAACTAAATAGAAAATTTAAATGATCTACTCCGCCTGTAGCTCCTCCGGGGGCTACTGTCGGTCCAAAGCCCGGGTAAAGGAGGAAGGTTAGGCATGGGGTTAGCGAACCCATCCCGTAGAAAACCAACTCGCTAAAAAAACGCTAACCAGAAAAAATTATTCAAGTAACTGAAAATTGTGATATGTTGGTCACGATGAGAAAAACTTTAAACAAAAAAAGTTAAAATGACTCAAAAAAAAAAGAAAGTAACATATGTATATTATGCAAATAATAAAAATAACTGCGACAATAGTACATATATTAGTATGTACTATGACCTTATTGACGATAACGATTCATTGAAGATGATAATGAATAAGGTAGATGTTGTAAAATTCTGTGCGTTATTCCAACTGGCCGAAGATGATATATTAAGTATTCTAAAATGTACATTCTCACTGGTATTAAACCACCGAAACTGATCAGCAATGGACTTGCAGGTAACTAAATTCAGTTGGATGGATGGTATTGGTGAGTGGGAGAAAAAAAAGATAAAAACAGTTGAGATTATTTCTTTTAAACAGAGAATCAATGAGCGAAAAAAAGGTAAAATGATGTATTTACTCAAACTTAGATGAAATTAAGGTTTTGACAGCACATAAGTGAGTATTAGAAAAAAATAGAGATAAACTGGCATAGAGATGTAGTCACATGGTAGCCAGTGACCAACGATTGGTTCATACGCCATTTGTTCCACCAGGATACTGGAGCCCATGTACACCATTGGTTTGGAATCAGGGTTTTCCAACTCCCCTAGGTGGACACTCCACATCCACCAACCCGGTTAAAGCGCCGGACATTCGCTTTTCATCCGCTCAATTTTGTAAACAACAACTACGCTACGAGAAGGCAGTGAGTAGGACTTCCCTGGCAGAGGCTATATACGCGTGGCCATGTGAGAGCATTTCGAGAGGGAGAGCGGACTTTCCCCACTCTCATCCGTACTAGGGCATTCGGGGGCATAGGTTAATGTACACAGGTTTGAGTGATGGTGATATTATCACCAGGTATGTTAATCTAAATAGGTGGAGAAGACAGTAGAAATCCAAAACTCACTGAGTGCCTTTACATGAAAAAGTTGTTATGCTCCGATTCTAATGAATATTATCAACTGTATGGAAACTCGTGATTATTGTCTTAAATGAAACATCAAAGATAGACTTTTTCAATTTTAATAACAGAGTGACTTAGAATTAAGACGATATACTTCTTCTTCATAAATAAATTGCAATCATAGTGGAAATTACTAACTGATCTTAGCTAGACAACCATTGAAAACTTAGAAGCACCGGGACAGTCGTTTCGTCCTAGTATGAAACTCTTCAAAAAGGTGCATCCATGACCTCACCACTAGCGATAGAACCCAAAACCTTTATCTCATACGTGAACACTTAACCTCTAGATTGAACCGGGACTTAATGGTATATATGTCTAATTTTAATCAACCCACAATATTACGCGACCATCTTTCATTGTTTTCGGTGGGTACCATTTTCCCGCCCGACACGATTAGCTGTCCAACTTAGATCGGTTCGTGATCTCAATAAGATTCAACAATCTTATGACCACCATATCGATATTTGATTTAAAGTTAGATATATAGATAAAGAAAGAAGACTGTTTTATGTACACTTTTTAACACTTACTTTCTTTAAATCATACACTGCTTGTGTATAATCTGTTTTTATCGGATTCCACTGAATTGTTCCGCTATTATTATTACTGTTATTAAATGTTCCAAAAAGATTGTTTATAGTAACATTACTGAATCGTGACTTTCCAAACATATCAATACTATCCTTGAATTCTATGCCTAATGCTTTTGCACATTTAGCTAAAATTTTGTTTTAAAACAAAAAAAATGATAAAATGAGGACTATATATATATGCTATTGCTGGGTTTGAGGAGTCATTCCTAAGAATACGTCAACAGTACTCGAATTTGTGAATGTATTTGGACCTATATGATCACTGAAATTTCGGTTCGACATATCTGCAAACTTTGTAGGTATACTGTTACGTTTTCTTACGGAACCAGTAGCTACTACAACTGGTGATGAAGAGATGTTCATGCAGGTCAAGATACGTGAATTTCATAGAGGTTTATTGTGGTATCTCTAGTGGCAAGATGGTAATCTATCAAGAGAGCTTGCCGGATTTCAGATGACTTCTCACTCCTTTGGGAAAAAATCGTCCACGTTCTGAAAATTTTGCTATGAATAAAATAGTTCAACAATGTTCTAACGACTGTGGTAGTGATATCCGAACGAATAATAAATAGCCTTTGAAAGCCCAGTCGCGATCAATCGTCTAGCACTCTAGGCACTTCTATGTGCCAAGAGTGAGTTGGATTTATGCGTTGGCTAGGTGAAGTCACAGTATGCAAACATAGTAGTTTTTAGTAAATCAAGTAGCTGTGATTTATCAGTACTTATAAATAGATCAATGGTATTATATAAAGTTCGAACAAATTCAGCAGATTAAGTTTGACTAGGTGCACGAAAAGGTATTGATCTCAAAGATTGGTTCGATGGTCCTATCTTCTTAAGAGCTTGAAACCCGATTATTTCTGCAGAGTATTTGGGAGATCTGGCCGAACATATTGAATTCAAGCAATTATCTACTAAAATCAAAGCATTCTCAACCTTTTGTTTCATTACTCAGATTGGATAAAATTACTTAAAGAAGAAAGCCTGTTCAAAATTTAAGTCTTCAGATAATATTAGAAGGGATATTCGTGAGATTTGTGCTCTTTAAAGTTCTGACTAGCCTCAGGCACTTAGGTTTGAGCAACTTGTGTTGGGGAACATCTATTGTGAGTAAGGTGATCTCGAGTGATGTTAGATATATGAGAGTGACTGTCACTTCCCAGTTTCGCACGCTGTGAAAGAACCTTTGTTTTCGAGGGACCTGGTAAGAAAACTGGATTAGAAGTTGAGTCTTAGCGACTTGGAAGCGTGAGTGAACAGCCCAAGAGACAAATGCTTGGGATCGATTACACACGGCATTATTGCGAGCAGATTTCAATTTGTTAGTTTCGTACTTCAAAGGTCTCACCTCTGGAGACGGGAATCCGTAGGGTGTGATGAGGTGCGGCATTTTCAGGGCCGACACTTCTTAACCCCTCCCTTATGTTATGAAGAGACAGCACCACTGTACATGCCGGTAATCTAGGTGGAACATCTTACTGCTGGATTTATTCTGTTACAGGAGCAATAAGAGGAAACTACTTATCTATTTTGATCTAATGTATATAAAGAGTTACATTTTTGTTAAACTATGATTCTTTACAGTGTAGCTGTAAATAATTCCCCAAAATCAGTAGCTCATTAAGTGTTCCACATTGGATGCTGACCACGTTGTTTAAGTGGACTTGTTTAGCTGAAGGCTTTCGGTCATGCATCCGTACCAGATCACGTTTCAAATCGGCGTGGGACACTGCTCTTACGTTTCTATAGCCAGCTTATAGTAAAGGTTCCTCGATATATTGGTAACGTATCAAATATATCTTTCCTACCTCTTCTCGTCTGACTTCTGATTTCCTCTGGCCGGGAACAATCGATTATAGAAGATACTACTGGTTGCTAGTTGTAAAACTAGAATATCCGTTGTATCCTCAACAGTCACACGTAAGGAGTTGTCACTGCGATATTCCTGTGGTTCAATGTAACATGGAGAATTTTGTTGCTTATTCATAATTATTAATTTCATGGTGTTTGCTACTTTTGTATGAATCCACTTAGTATCCTTAAATCATTTGAAGATATAAATCAAAATGCACAAACCTTGTGACTGGCATTATGCTAGGGCTCAGTAGTTACCTATGCTTGCCAGAGTCTAGTTAGTTAGATTTCATGTAACCGGAGAGTATGAGTTTGCTACTGCTTTCAGCTTAGACCACCCAGTGGGTTGTATTTAATTTCAACTAAATAACCACAAAAAAAAACACCTACTTACATATTTGAATATCTTCACGAACATGCTGAATTGGCCCACAGTCAGCCACTTTGTCTAAACCTTTCAGAACAATTAATTCGAGAGCAGTCCTTGATAGTACGTAGCCAAAACTACCAGATACAGTGAATTCATTTGGACGGATCTTAAATAATTAGATAAATGGAGTATTAAAAAAGCTTTCAAAAAAGCATTTTATTATTGAAGAAATAGGTTGTGGAATCAAGGACGCGCGTTTTGTTCTATTTGCTACCTGTCAGACGGGTGTACTTGTGTTCCAGAGTTGATATTAACTCCGGACTTTGAACCCACCGCCTTTCGCTTCAAACGCCCAATGAGCTGTCAACTCAACTACTAAGACCAAATAGCTACTCACTTGCGCAACGGGTATAGAATTTAATCTGATTTGTAATGGTTTGGGCCATCTCATTTTTGACATATTGAGGTGATTTGCATAGGATACACGCACACCGCTGGATCCCGGGTTAGTAGTCTACAGGTTAAGGTCCTGGGTCCGATCCCCGCGTGTGAGATCATGGATGTGCACTTCTGAGTCCCACACTAGGAAAGGCCGTCTAATGCTTCCAGGTTTTTAGTTGTGGTCTAAAAATGATCGGTTCATGGCTTTAATAAAATATTAACGGGACAATGAAAACCATTACAAATTGAACTGTTAGTATTATTATTGTAAAATTAAATATTGAGGAAAAGACTCAAGTTAAGAAAGAAAGGTTACATTCATACAGTGCAACTAAAAACAGGCATAAAATTAACAGATTGACGAAAATTTCTAAGTTAACTATTAAACTGTGAAACTTAAATAAATGTTAGTTTAATACAGTTATATAATTTTAAAGTGAAATAGTCAACTAAAAGTTGGAAAGAAAAAAATTAAAGAACCTTAAAAATATTCTGAACAAGCACAATTCAGTATTCAGAAATACAAATAATCATAATGTAAGTGAGTTAACTTTCATTGAAACAACTTTATATAGTATCATGTATTATTATTAACAGTATTGAAAATTCAAATGACTCATCCATAAGGTACTTGGAAATGATCGACATTCTAAGTGTGAAGGCTAATGATAATCGTGGTGGGCTAACAAATGATAATCTCATACGGCCATCTTTCATAGTAGTTACATGTCATTGACTGATCGTATTTCTGTTTTTACCATTCAGTTCTAGTGTTCATAAATAATGTGAGATGTAGAAATCGCTAAAATGGTACTCACAAAGCAAAACCAAGCCCCATAAATTGGTGTTTCAAGACGGTGGAATTAACTAACTTATCATCACTGAGCCCGAAGACACACTGTTGGACTTCAGAAATGTAGAGTCTGAAGAAGCGCAGTGCTTATAACCGAAACTTGAGAGGGCTTACGGGGTCCCACACTTATATGATATAGCTGTTTAATTTACCAAGTGTTACAATAGCATGCTACATAGTAAAAGTAGTATTTAATGGAAATTACTCCCAAATGATTAATTCACCAGTAACTACAAGAATGAAAGTGGAGACGGTTATTTCTAGTATTACTATTTGCTATAGGTTTGTATTTTCTGGTTGATGTTATTACAGACTGAATTGGATCAATCTCTATTCGTATATGGGCTTTGTAGGAAGATACCACGAAATTGTCTATGGTTTAAAACATGATGTCTTGGATTCCACTGTCAGTCAGTATCCAAAAATATGATAAACACTAAAACTATAGGAAATTATAAGACATTTGGTCAAGGAAGTCATATGTCAGCATAGACTGATTAAGTCTAGTCTTGAATACCAATGACAGGAAAACAAAAATCACTACAGATACCAACAAATATTATATTCGTTGAATTAGTTGATAGCTACCATTTCTCAGTAGATTGAATGAGAAAGTGTTGGGTATTGGTTTAAGTTTTAGTGTGAGCACTAACGCCAGGATGCTTATTTACTCGACTAACGAGTCCCAAATAGAACGGAACGCGCGATATGGGTGCTACTGTTAGACACTATTCAAAATATAATTAATCTGTAAATGCGGACAGAAACTAGGTGCCAGTTAAGGTAGTCCATACAGCAAACATAGACTTATCAGATTCAGTACTGAATATAAAAGATAGGACAATATGGATATTTACGATGAACATAAATGAAATTGATTGCAAAAATCACACACACACACACACTATATATATATATATATATATATATATATATATAGAGAGAGAGAGAGAGAGAGAGAGAATAAGTATTTCGTTTTAATTTAAACCTGAACCGAAAAACAAACAAACAGCATATCTGTGTATGTATTACCTTTAATCAAGCAACTAATAAGATGGACTTAGTTCATTTAAACACTCGAACTAACAGTTAATTATGAAACAAAGTATTTTTTTAGATTTGTGACAATAAAGAAATCGTCACAATCATCTAAATACAAAATCAGAATATTATAAAGATGATATTCTTAAGTGTGGCGATGATCATTATCCTGAATAAACTTCAAACAACACATATTTCCACAAACAGAAAAAGTGTAATTTATTTTAATTAGATTACAGGTTACGTTTGTATACAATAAGAAACTGACGAATTTTGAACAATTAATTGCAACAAGCTTTATATATGTACGAGTAAAGGAATGTAGATGAGGTTGGGGAGAACTGGAGCTACATTAACAAAAGGTAATGAGTGTCGGTTATTCACATTTATCATGAGGAATCTCAACTCAATTTCGATGAATTGCTCATGACACTTGCATTTTGGAAAAATAGTTTTCAGAGGTCTTTATTGACGCAGAGTAAAATGGTAGATTTTAGTTTTTTAACTTTCTCTTAGGTCTAGAAATTTATTTAAAAGCTGAAGTATGGCAAAACATTAGCTAACAATGGACTGTGCCGGGGTTGTATCCATAGGTGATACTTAAGCGCTAATTAGTCTGATTGGTAGTTTGGTAGGAGTATGAACCGACATACATAGTTTTATTATTGATAAGTATCCATAATTGTCTCTATCTACAAAGAAACAGTATGGGAATTGTCTTACAAAATCAAAGTTTTCAGACTAAATATTTATTTCAATTAATAGACTAACAATTAATAATGCAAATTAGTCAAATACAAGTTTGTATATTCGGTTTTTAAGCTATACCACTTTCGTGAAGGCTAGCGATACTACTCAGACAATTAAGCAGTAGTAGGTGAAGTGTGATTCGAAAGTATGACTAAATGGATGAAAGACTAATGTTTAAACCATTAAGGCACTGATCTATGGCGAATGGATTTTAATCTAATAATACACAAGAAAATCAATTTTTTCAAAGTGGAGCTATACTATTGGGTCGTGAAAATAAACTGTATCAGAAATACTATTTATCCTTCGAAGAAAAGTTCTGTGGAGAATGTGCTTTTGTGTAGGTGCAACAAGCGTAATGCATCAGGGTGATATATATGTATATATAAAACGACTGTCGCATACGGTTCGTTTTAGAGGTCGTCAATGCTGGAAGTGTTGACGTATCCCAAACATTGTATTAGATCTATTTGAGCGCACATTACATTCCATAAACTCACCCATTCATGGGTTATAAATCATCAAGCTTACCAGACGAAAAATCCTTTCATCAATTCATCAACAACATATATAGCCTTTCTCAGACCATCAGTGTATGATGATGTACATGTAACTGCTTAAGGGCGTGTCGTTACATCTTGTGAAATTGTTATGGTGAATGGTAACTTTGGGATCCATTTATGAATCAATACTATGCATATTCATGTCTCTCTTATTATAAGCGTTATTTTGACTTATGAGCTATTGTTATACGATTTACCATTCTTGAATTACGCCCTGTCTATCATTTACTATCTCCCTTATTCACAGTCACATTTAACTAAATCTTGTACAAATGTTGTTTTCCGATTTTATGGTACGATGTGGTCTGTCTGTTTGGTATATAAACCCAGAATATTCGAAATAAATGATTCGTACCGCAGAGATTGAAATTGGTGTTCTGGATTTAACTGGCTAAGCTAGGTAGATAGCAGGATTGATAAGTATTCTAGACTGCTCGTACGGGTTTCGTGTGTCATTGGTCCAATAGACAAATCACTGCTCTTTAACTGGCGGTGTTATCACGTTATACATTAACAGGGCATCCAGGCGGCACAAGTTATAACAGAAATCATCATTAAAATATCTATTGCAGTGAAGCAACTAGTTTTTCCCTAATGGATCCATCGCTCCATTAGCCTCGAGTTATCGGCATCGTTTTCTTAGGAATGTATATCGTTCATTTAAATCTAATTTTACGATATAACTTGGTAGAACTTTGCGTTGCAGATGGCTCAGTACATTACACGAAGTCTTACGACACAAGACGTCCTGAGTTGAGGATTCCCATTCCAAGAACAACTGAAGTTCAATCAGGATGGGTGAAATTTTTGACACAACTGCAGGCTTATAATAAGCCTCATTGACGTCAATGACCGGTTTTACAGTATCAGTTTGCATGCTTTGCAGAATGCCCATCCAGCAAGGGCCCAGTGAAACTACTTTTTTGCAATTATAAGTCCTTGTCAGTAACTGTGGTCCCTTTCAAACACCCAAGTAGGTGTCGAGGTATTTCCGCTTAAGAGATTCATAGCTACCACTACTGTGAAGTATCACAAGTAACAACGTTTTAAAACTTGCATGAACACAATTTACAACAGTAAGATTAATAAAAATCCCTTACTACTCAAAATTAGGTAATAATAATAAACTTTAAACGACTAACCTTATAGATATGACCCATAATAAATGGTTTACGAGGATCTGTGTATTCTAAAGCATTTCTTAAGTTTTCCATAATCACATAAGTTGTGTCATCAGCTTTAAGAAAATATGCCGCTTTGTAAGTTTGTTTATATAATGCACGAAGTGTTTCACGCATTGAAATCCAAGAATGTTTAACATAATTTTGCGTCCTATCAACGGCTATAAGTAAATAAATAGGGAACTTAATACTTTATTTTACTTGAACACATAAACATTGACATAAGGGGGTACCAGATATATATGCGCCACACAATAACAATGAGGTCAGTCAGTCAGTGGTCTTGAGTTCTGTTAGACGTATGAGGGCAGTTATCACTTCCCGGTTGCCCACACCGTGGAAGGGTTCTTCTAGGGGTATCTGAAAAGGAAATTGGGTAGAAGTGGTCTTAATGACCTGAGAACGTGACCGCAGTGCCCAAGGGACAACTGCTTGAGGTCGGTCATACACGACCTTTTTGTGGGTAGTTTTTGTGTTAGCTCCGTTCTTCAAAGGACCTTACCGCAGGAGACGGAAACCCGTGGGATAAGGTGAGGTGTGCATTTTTGGGGTCGACCTTTTCTAACCCCACCCCTCCTTGTGGGAAGGCAGCATCACTGTCATGCTGGTTGTCTGAAGGAAACACCTTACTGCTGTCACACCTCTGTACAGTCAGCAGTACGATTTCGCCTTCGGACCTTGGGTTTGCTGCTTTTAGTCTCACCGCTCTTCAAACGACCTGCCTGGCATGGTAGGACCTTGAGGAACGATTGTTCCAGCCAGTATAGCTCGATTGACTCATCACGATAGGCAAGCCCGGCCACCATGTCAGGGTAGCAGCAACGGTCGGGAATGAGGCCAGTAGCAGTTATCATGGATTTGTGTGAGGGCTGTGATACTGCCCGAGTGCCCAGACCGAAGCAGGTGGTTTTCTTAGGGGTCACATCCTCAACCTTTGACCTGAAGGTTTAATCCACAAGGTAGCGGAGCAACGTTAAGAGATCCAGTCCCATAGTAGCCGGTGACCAATATTAGGTCCATACACCTTTTGTTCCCTCACGATCCTGGAGTCTGTATGCACCAGTGGTTTGGAACCAGGGTTTCTCGACTCCTCTAGGTGGACCTTCCGTGTCCACCACCGTGTTGGCATTATTTATTATTATTAAAATATATAACAATAAATAATATCAACACGGTTAAAGCGCCGGACCCTTTTTTCGCTTTTCGCCCTCTCAATTTCGTGAACAGCCGTCTTCTCGAAAACAAAGCAATCTAACAATAGTGTGAAACAGTTATAATGAACAATGTTTTTTATTACTAGTAAAACCGCAGATCAAAGTTATGACAACATGATCGGCACACTCGTCTTAAAGAGTAATGCCTCTAAATGCCCTGGTGTGACCAAGGGTGGGTGGACCTATTTTGGTCAGTGGCCACTACGAAACTGTAACTCCTGAACTGTCTTGTGGATTAGACCTATATATCAAAGGCCCGGGGAGTGGTCTCCTAAAAAAGCCAATTGCTTATGTTTTCTAGTTGCTTTGGAATAACTTATAGGCAGACTATGCATGGAGGTGAATTGTACGTCTCTGAATGATGAGTAACACCTTAATATAAATTTTCTGTTTGACGTAGATCACCGTACAAAATGAAATGCTATTACACAAGAATTTAAGTACTTGGAATATAAATTTCTTATGCCTATGAACATTACACATTTTCTTTACTTCATACAAACGAATTAATAAAATTTTCTAAATAAAGACAAAAAAATAAGATCGCTTTTGTGACTTACCAAGCATTTTCATTAATTTTTCCGCTTTTGAACTTATAAAACTAAAACGAGTACACCTTCGAGCCCAAGTTGTTTGAACATGATAAGCTTTGGTTAAATGTGACTGTGGTTCCGTTAAGATATAACAATATATATTAATCTTATTAGCAAGATTTTGAGCATAACTAACATCAGCTATAATAGATGAGTTATAAGAAAAATTAGGGAAACGTACTTAAAGAAAATATGGAATATTGTTTTGTGCTCTGAAGCAAGCTACCGTCTGACAAACATTTAAATTTCGGTGTCCATGATAAAGTAACAATCCAATTCAATAAAAATACGAACCCTAATCCGATTAAAAATAATTTCACATCATTCAATCGTAACTTAGACTAAGGATGTTTATATGTGATTGAAAACATCTTACCAGTGTATGCACCAACCTGTTTAAACCACTGCATTTTTGAACCATACTGAGGATCAGATTATGAAACTCTGTGACAAAATAATAATAGTACAGTTTTAAGTCAAACAAAACGACACATACGTTAGGAAAGCAAATGTATAAAATGATCAGATTACCACTTATCATCTATGCTTTAGCCCCCAAATGCCCTGGTACAGCCGAGAGTGGGGAGAGTCCGCTCTCCCTCTTCAAATGCTCTCAACATGGCCACGAGAATATATAGCCTCTGACAGGGAAGTCCTACTCACTGCATTCTCGTGGCGGGGGTGTTGTTCACGAAAGTGAGAGGACGAAAAGCCAATGCCCAGAACTTTAACCGGGTTGGTGGATGTGGAGTGTCCACTTAGGGGAGTTGGAAAACCCTGATTCCAAACCAATGGTGTACATGGGCTCCAGTATCCTGAAGGAACAAATGGCGTATGAACCAATCGTTGGTCACCGGCTACCATGGGACTGCATCTCCTCACGATGCTCCACTGCCTTTTGGGTTAGACCTCTAGGTCAAAGGCTCCGGGTGTGGCCCCCTAATAAAACCACCTGCTTCAGTTTGGGCACCTGGGCAGTATCACAGCCCTCACATAAATCAAATGAGATTTGTGAGGCGCATATTTATCTGGTGCTTCCTTGTACCAATATCTATGTGTTTAAATAAAATAAATAACTATGATATACACAGTGGAAACACTAGATATAATCAATTATGTCAAGTTCGATAACCAACTGATATTGACTTAAAATCATTTTCTACACAGATAAAAACATAAGTGTTTACTTCCTAATTCATACATACTGGTTGCTTGGATCTTCCCACCGATGTTTAGGACTGAAATGAATCAATCTTCTTTGGTATGTGTGCATTCTATGCAGTTTGCCTCAATATTTCTTATAAGTCACAAGCACTTTTAGCAAAAGCAGATGGTCACTATCAGTGGAACTCAGGAGGTACTTGTGCAATGGCTATCTGAACTTAGTAGCCAAGTGGATAACTCAATGTTTGGAGATAAAATTGCTAGGTTCAAGTCCCAGAGTAAACATCGACTATGGGATGTAGGTATATCTAACTGACTAGTCCCAACTAGGACGAAACGAGCGTCCTGGATTATACTGCTAGCCACTAACCATCTCTTAAAATAGATGTTTACGTTAATCCGATGTCGGGAAATGAAATAATCTTACTACCATCGTTCTTATTTACGGCTAATTGGATTTTATTTGGAACTTCTGACATGTACTTTTGATAGAGCAAATAGAGGACCGCTTAATTTATTGATGGGGAATAATTAAGTATATACAACTACATACGTATAAAAGTAGGGAATTGGACGGGCAATCAAGTATTAGGACATGGTCCTTAGGTTGGAAATTACTGGATTATAAAAGAAAGATGGGAAGCTGTCTAAAGTTAACCTCAAAAACTGCATACAATATTGATTCTTCATGATAGATGCTGATGATGTGGTCTAAGCAGGAAGTTAGTGACCTCACATGATGGGACATTTAAACCAAAACTATAGGCAACACAAAGGTGCGTCATCTATAAATTCTGCACTTTGAAACAGAACAAAAAACAAGACTTTAATTATCAGATATTGAAGTAATTAATGGCATAACTACAGAGGGAACAGACCAACAAGGCGGTAGTCTTCGAAATTTTGAAAACAATAGAAGTAAATATACATACCGCCGTAACCTATTATTTAGTCTAAAAGTTCCCTAATTTTGACGATTATTGGAACCAGTAAGACATCATCTTCCTAAACACCACGATCGGTGGCTTTGCGAACAAGTGTTAAACCTTGGTGTAGTCACCCTTGAGTTTCATATGACCCAATTCTTCTCCAATCAGCATAATATATTGAGGATGACTGAATTACACTAACTACGGTTAGTTTGCCCTCCTTGTTTACAACTCACCAAAAAACAGGAGTACTACTTGGTTTTACAAGACATGAGTAGTGCTTTGAAGATGCGATTGCTTACATGCCTATAATGATTATACAATTTTTACTTGTAATGGTCTGTCTGACAGCAGTAAAGTAGAAAAGACAGGGCTGCTGAGGTTTACTTTCCGTTTGATGAGATGTTCAATATCTTGTATAATATATTGATGAGTACTAAAAAAGCCCGCCCTAAACCCAATCTCCCTACTTTGGGGAAAATTTTACCTGTTTTGGGGAAGCGGTTATATAAACTTTTGGGGAAATGGCACAAAACCCCCAAAATTTCCCCAAACTTTGGGGATTTCCCCAAAACAGGGAGATTGGGGAACCATTAATAGTCCGCATACAGTTGGCAATGAAAATTACACTTTAATATAAAGCACCAACCAAGTGAACAGATAGAGCTGCTTTGGAAGTGAATCTGCTGATGAGGTTCATAGAGATTCCATGAAAATGCCCGGCTACACCTACAAACGTAACCGACAGACGAACCCAACAGCCAATGTTGTAATAACCGCGACGAATTTTACGAAGTTGTAAACTAAACAGAAAATACACTTTGTATTGTTTGTTTGAATCTCCCCATTGATGTTTAAATTCACTTACAAACAATACTTAGTGAATTTAAACTTCACCTCATTACACAAGCAAGTGGCTATCAGGACTCAGTGGCTGAGTGGATAACGCGATGGTGTTTGAGGCGAAAGGTACTTGGTTCGAGTCCCAGAGTGAACATCGACTCTGAGAGCATGTACATCCAGCTGACGATTCTCAAATAGTACGAAACGCAAGTCCTGGATTCCACTGCGAATCACTAACTATCTTTGCTTATTATCAGAAAATAGTTTACAAGTGGATAGTTTATTAAAAATAGCAATATTATAATGAATCTACATAGTTAATGAGTCTAATGAGTTCTCCAGACCTTCAGGGCTTCATGTGGCGAAAAAGACAAATGCATAACGGTTATGATAAACCCACTTAAAAACCCAAATAGCTTTCATAAGTCCCCATATTGTTTCTAGTTCATTGATAGAAATAAAAGCTTGGAAATTTCAGTTTAAAGTTGATTTTCATGTATTGCACGATGCAGAAATACTTTTAGCAAAGTGAGGTTTAAGTACATCACAGAAATAAATATGGCCAGTGTAGGCGACTCCAAGGTCAGCGTGTACGCATCAACTAGACTTTGCACATTGAAACTCTCTAAAACAAAGTAAACTTGTAGAAACGTAAAGTGGACAGTTTCTAGTGGCAGCTATCTATGTATTCTTTTCCTTTCAGATGTCCGGATATTTGATCTGTAATGTTCTCTCAACACTGCATTTTGATGTAGCACAATAAACACATCGAGCAGACTTGGAAAAGCTAGCGAATAATTCCCTACACACTTATTTTGAGCGAATTCGGACTTCATGTTCTTGACATCGATAACAGTTATTTCATTGTGACGTTTTTTTCTTAAGAACTTTTACTGCCTGATACAACTCGAAAGAGTATAGGGGTGTGAGATTCAATTTGTTTACATTATTAGGCAAACACCTACTCCATGGATCAGATAACACAAAGCTGTTTGTACACTGATGGTTATAGACCATCTTAAACGACTTTATGATGTGCCCTTCACTGCCTAAGGCCACTCGAAGGATGGGCTCACAGTCACGAGACGTAGACTCATGTTATTACATATGGTTTTAAAGCCTCACGGTTTACTGACAACACGAGTCCTTGAGGTTTTCTCTCCACAACAGGTAAGCAATTGAAGACAACAAACTGATATTTATAAGGCTCTTGAGGATGCCATAGGTACTTGACGTTTGAGGACTGCTTAACCAGCAACACCTGTATTTAAACGTTCCCACCCAGTGAAATCAATAGTAAGAAGCGAAGATGGTTCGAAGATATATTTCGTAAGTTATCAGTATGTTGAGGAAAGATTAGTCTAAACTGGCTAGAGGTTGTAGGAGAAGTTGAGCTCAGCGTTCCAACTGGTGATCTGGTGCGTATGCATGACTGGGTGCCTTCAATAGGGTGAATCCATCAAAACTAATGTGGTCAGCATCAAATGTTGAACACTTACAGAGTTATTGATCTTAGGGATTTGTTTACCGCTACACTCTATACGAATCTTCTTACTCTGTAGATGGATAAAATAAGCACGTGTTATCTGCACTTATCATAATTATGCCTTTCCTATCTGTTAGAAACCTTTTAAAACATTTTCGGGCCTATTCCGTGTCGAGAACCTCAGAGATAAGAATATCTGACGAAAATTAACAATATATGGCTGAAGTAGGTAGGTCTAGATATCCCATACTTGGTAGGGAATTCCATAAAGAGATAAATTTAATTTGATATGCATTCGAACATTTAAAAGTAGACATTAAATCTCTTGGCAAAATCATACTTTTGTTGACTAGTGTAAATGAAATAGTTTATTCCTCTTTTATAGCTTTAACTACTACCTACGTGTCATATCACGAATGGCACCATATTTTATGCAGTGTCTTATAAGATACTTCTAAAATTCAGACGAATGTCAGCCATTGGGCATAACATACACCTAACTGTTGGGCGATTCCATCAACAACAAAGTGTAATCATAACATAGTCAGATGTCTTGAGATCAAGGATCAGTCGTATGCATTGATGATGAAAGTGTTAGCTGGAACATTCAGATATATAAAAAACGCGATATTAATAACAGTTGCTAGAAACAACCAGCTGAACGTTTCTACAAGATTACGTGGTGTTTTTAAATAGCTCACAGAGTTTGTCTCTGACAAAGTGCTGCATCAATTGAAAATGATTAACTACCTGCCTTTTAAATATGAAACACTAAGTTATGTTTTTTACCCATGGGCCATTTCATTACGAGTCTGACTTAAGTTCCGGGGTATGTACCACCAGGACATTTCAAACATGCCGTTACCCGTGTCGGCATATGTTGCTTGCTTTTTTGAGACGTCTGACTTTTGCAGGTACGTGTTTTATCTATAGAAATCTTCATATTACAGGAAGGTAATTCATCAGGACACTGTAGTTGAATGGGGAGCGATTCCGTAT